CTATCTGTTCTGGGTAAGCTGTGCGGACCATGTACCGCATATATCGTGGTTAACCAGCGTACTATCAGAATCACTCCACGCCGTTGCTGCTCCTGCGTGACTGCTACGAGTCCACCGTACTGACATCATTTTTCTATCTGCTCCTCATGTACATCTCGCCTGATGTCGAGGAGCAGAAGGAAGTATTTCGAAAGGTACGTCCGTTTTAGGCACCTGGCACGTCTCCTTGGCACGACTGCACACGCGCCAGCGGGGCCTTCCTGAGCCGAGCGCATCGTCGAACTACGATGCCGTCGCCACTGCTCCCCGCTTCCGACGAAAGACTACGGGCTGATCAGGGTCGTTCAATCTCATAGGTTGGCCTCTCGCGTGAGAACGACCGAGAGCGGAGACGAGCGGGGGAGCCGCTCAAGAAGTGGATGTTTCCATTCAGTCGCGTCCAGTGGAAACCTGTGGTGAGTAATCATCGCCGGTGATTGGTGTCATGACACTGAAAAACGTCCATGTGGCCGTGTGCAGGATGGTCTGTACTTCTTTCAGCTCATGAAGTGGGGCGTCTTGCAGTATTGCGTTATCCGCCCGACGTGAGTGAAAACTCCGCCTCGTGCCCTTGCACACTCTCACGTCTATCCTAGTACAACGCTGGCAGCGCTCATCCTAGATTACGTCGGACTCTACTGCGAAGACTCGTGGGGCCCAGGATGGGGACACCTTTATGTGAGTGCAAACCGCTGTGCCGAGCACGCCTCGTGCCGACGCTGCTCTAGATCTCCGTTATCGTCTCCGCGTCGGTGTCGGTTGCCATGTACTGCCTTCTGCAGCTTTACATGCCGATCAAGGAGTACCTAGCACCCCAGAAGCCTCTGCTGAAACTGTTCGCCGTCAAGGCCGTTGGTTAGTGCGAGCCGGCTTGATGGCGAGAACACCGTGCTGACAGGCTTTCAGTGTTCTTGACATTCTGGCAGGCGTCTGCCTTGTCTATGCTGGCTACATTTGGCCTTGTGAAGGACGTCAGTGTATTCTTGGCCTTGCGCTTGTCCTGTGGCTGACAGATCTTACAGACCCAGTACATGACAGCGGACAACATCAACATCGGCATTGGCGCAATAATGGAGACGGTCGAGATGACGATCTTCGCCATCCTGCACTTCTGGGCCTTCAGCTACAAGCCGTACGTCGTCGGCCCGCCAACAAGCCGCCTGCGTTCGCTCGCGCACGCCTTCAACTTCGTAGAGACGCTGCGGGAACTGTGGGGCGGGCTCGTGTACATGGGTCGGCGGGCGCGCGGGCGCGAGGTGGACGTGCAGGCGCGGAGGCAGGCAGCGCTCGCGAACGTCTTCGGGAAGAGCCGCCACGAGATTCACGGGCGCGTCGCGTCGCTCACGGCGCCGAAACCCACGGAAAAGCCCACAGAGAAGCCTGAGGACAAGCCGCTCGGCGTGCGCGTCGCCGTCGAGGAGACCGTGCACGTCAACGCCGAGCGCCAGTGGCTCGGCGTCGGCGACGACTATGCGTATGGCCTCGCGTACCATGAGCGCCGCCGCCGCGAGAAGAGCGATGGGCTCGAGGAACAGATCGAGAAGGAGCTCACTAGTAGAGGGTATGGGCGACGTCGTGAGTAAACTATCGCCCGGGACGAGCATGTGTACTGATGAGCTCTCGCAGAGCCATCTGATAATCGGGCGAGGTACGACCTGCTGCAGCCTACAGAGCCCGCGCAGCCTCCCGCACGGCGGCGTTCTGGCCAGTCGCAGTCATGGTGGCGCAACATCTACAACCGTCTCTCGCAATCGGAACCTCTCGAGGACCGATCACCTACCATTGACAGTTTGCCATACGTCCCTGAGAAGTCACCAACTGATCAGCAGCGGCTGTCATACAAGCCGCGACCGCGGCGAGTGGACAACGCAGCCTTCGACCCTCGGCAGCATCTCTACGATGACCCTCCGCCTCCGTCGGCGATTCGTAGCTATAGAGAGAGCAAGTCAAGCAGGAAGCGCTCGGAGTGCCAGGACGCCGCCTCCGGCCCAGTGCATAATCCTGTCGTGTTGAACGCATTCGGAGCCTCACATATCCGCAGTGTACCTCCTGCGCGGCCGCCATCTGCCCCGTCTGCGCCTTCCGCTAACAGTACCCCATACTCTCGCCGCCAGTCACTGCCCCCGACGCCCTCCACGAATCGCTCGGACAGCTTCTTCCACCGGGCGTTCCCTGATTATCCGGACACGTCGCCGTTTTCAGCCACGACCTCGCTGCCGTCGCCCTCGGGTGCATCCCATGATTCGAGAGTGCGCCTCGCGAACCGACCGCGCGCGGTTGGCACCTCGGAGGTCCTTTCTGCCGTCCCACAGGTCGTGCATCCCTACGACCCGAGCGGCCCTGCGCCGGCGGATGTCACTAGCGCCTGGCCGGTTGCTCATGTTCGAGATGTCGCTCGACTTCCCGGGCCCTCGAGTGGACACTATGTTCGAGAGCAGCAGTATGCACCCCCGCCATCCGCACATCCTCCGCTTTCCTCGCCGCCTGGGGTAACTCTGCCCTCACCGCGCCCATTGCCAGTGGTCAAGTCACGCCTACGCCGAGATCAAATCGTGCTCCCTACCCCTCTCGCGCCGGACTCCTATCCCTCCGCCTCTGCTCTGCCAGGCCGGTACCCCTCCGCACCTGCTCATGCAGAACGTCCGAACTTTGCTATCCGGCCCCCGCCAGATCCGTCAGCGCCATCGCAGCTCCGCCGCTCGCGGCACGGTAATCAGCGGCGGCACAGCTATGCAACCTCTGAGCAACAGCCTCGGGGGCATGCGTCGCGTCGAATATCATTTCCGCTTCCCGAGTCCCCTATCGTCGAGGACGTACAGTTTCCATTTGTTCCTGCGCCTGGAGAGCTGCCGCGTCCATAGCGCGGTATCTCTCGCTTACGACCTGTCATGACCTGTCACGAATTGCTACGATTACGACTATTGTATGTACTGCTTTACTATAAGTGCTGCAGAGCTTTCTTGCTGTGAATGTGTGCCGCGCCGCCCCGCGCGATTCGCTGGGAGGATCTGCGTCGCCATACTCGGTAACCGGAGGCTTGAGATCCTATTAGGAACAAACAAAGTCGGTCCGTCGTCCGACCAGATGAGGAAGGCGTCGGGATGGGCCTACCAGACGCCAGCAGGTCGCTGACTCTCTTTCCCTTTCTCTTACCTCTCCCTGTACGCTACCAAAATCTCACTCACTCAGAGCATGACGAAAAAATCCGTGCTCTTCATCTACTACATACTTCGCACCCGCCTGCATTGCGATATCCTGAACTGGCTTTCCCATGAATCGGGACCCGAGCCTCGCATCCTCGACTGTCATTAACAGCACCCGTCACGACGTATCCACCACGCCACAACGTTTTCCATTTCTCTGAAACCTGCAAGATGCGGCAAAACAGTATAGACGGCTTCTGGGAGTTTCTGAGGTTTGTCAGCAGTAGATGACATCGATGCTGATATTTGTTCTAGTCGAGTGTGGGAAGGCGACACCACTACTCGCTGCGCTCGCTGCCTCCTCTATCTCTGCATCTGCCAGCCATGGTGAAGTACGTTCTGACTGGTGCGACTGGCCAACTCGGCTCCCGCGTCTTCAAGAACCTCATCAAGCTCGTCCCTGGTGCGTCCCGCCGCCGCCTTTCCAGTCCCTGTACCGACCCTGCACAGCGAGTGACGTCATCGTCTCGCTGCACAACCCCGACGGCGCGACGCCTGAGATCCTGAGCTCGGGCGTCGAGGTGCGCAAGGGCGACTTCACGCAGCCGGAGACCCTCGACGGCGCATTCGCGGGCGGCGACAAGCTGCTCATCGTCTCGTACCCGTCCATCGCGTACGACATCCGCGTGAACAGCCACAGGGCCGCAATCGACGCTGCGAAGCGCGCCGGCGTCGCGCATGTGTACTACACGAGCCTCATGTTCGCTGGCGACAGCCAGGCCGCTGTCATGCAGGCACACCTCGCGACGGAGAAGTACTTGAAGGAGAGCGGCCTCACGTACACCATCATCCGGGAGGGTATCTACAGCGAGAGCTACCCGCTCTACTTTGGCTACTGGAAGCCCGGCAGGCCGGGCAACGAGGTGAAGGTGCCGCACGGGGACGGGGGGATCGCTTGGGTATGCAGGGACGATCTGGGCGAGGGCACGGCGAAGCTTATGGTGTCGGTACGTGGTCCTCCCTTCGCCCTATTTGCCCTCGCTGACATCTCGGCGCATCAGGACTCACACAAGCACGAGACCGTCCTCTTCACCGGCTCGAGAGCAATCACGCTTTCCGAGCTCGCCGGCATTATCTCCGACGTCGCGAAGATAGAGCCTCCGCTACAGCTCAAGGTCGTCCCCGAAGACGAATATGTCGCCAGCAACGAGGGCGGTGAAGATCTTCTCAGGAAGTGGGCGTCGACCTACCCTGCCGTAGCTCGCGGCGAGCTGGCCGTGGTCGACCCGCTCCTGCGCCAGATCCTAGGGCGGGATCTGAAGACGTTTGAAGAGACACTGAATGAGGAGCTCAGTATCAGCAGCAGCAGCGACGCGGCTGTTCAACGGTACTCGAAGTGACGAGCCTGCATAGTGAAGCTGCAAGATGGCCGTATTTTTTTTAACTTGCATATCCTTTCGATCTACTTGTGCATGGACTCAGAGAGAGACTCGACGATGGAGGCAGCTACAGTATAGTCAATACCAGTGACTGCTGGTCTTCTTATAATGCTTGACGGTTCCTTCCGGGTTGCTATGTACGCTGCGCAGATTGTGGCGCCTATACACAGAGTGGTAAGCACGATTTTGCTGGTCTAAAAACCTTGGTAAAAACTGGGCACGATCGATGTATCTCGGTCCGGTATTTTGGGGACAAAAACCGGATGTAGATCCGAGGTAAAATCGTACCTTTGGTGGAGAATTCACGGTTTTCACACGGTTCGTTCCCAGATTTGGTACGCCACAATGTTAATGTAGAGTCAACCCAAATTCCTGTTATGGGCACTTGGCGCAGTGGTAGCGCGCTCGCTTTGCATAACAGTGTTGCGAAAGGCCATGGGTTCAAACCCCATAGTGTCCAATCTTCTACTTCTCTAAAGTTTTTTTTTTCGCCCATCTCTGAGACTCTCATGCTGTTAGACCTTAGAACTTAGAAGTTGCGGTAGAGACTTGGACACCTTAATGCGACAGACACCGCAGTGCGATACCTGCCTTTTAGTATTAGGCGTGTGCGCGCGCAGCTGCTGTCGCAAACCCGGGTATGGGCTTTCTGGGCTTTGCTCGAGATACTTTTTGTCATAGCAATATATCACGTAATAGCGAGTTGAATTCCGATGCATAAAGACATGCGGTAAATGAACGAAAGAACACGCGAGCTGCGTTCAGACCTGACCGCGGCGCGCGCGCCTGCTACTACTCTAACAGGCAGATGTCGAAGTCTGTACTATTATTGTAGTTCGGGGCCCAACTTCCAAGCCTCAGATTGTAGCATATGCATGGACGAGGTTTTCTGTATACACTCACAATATACAGTATCTATAGTGTCGTATGCAAAATGTATACTGTACGCAGGCCACGGAGTGCTACGTAGAACTCTGACAAGCGGGTCCTGAATGTCACTTGTGACTTACGACTGACCGGAATGGCTGTTTTGGCGGCACTATAATTGGCACGTGCTCATGCCATGCATTGTGTGCATGAGATTACGGGCAGAGCTATGTAGCTATACAGGGTATGTGAGATATACGAAGACTGCGGCGGCGGCCGGAATTACTGCTACAACGTATGAATTGAGTGTCCTTGTTCGAATGATGTCAACGAACGATCATGTCAGTCGTCAGAAAGACAGCGCATCATGCATTCCTACGTCCTATTTTTCCGCCTTGACACTGGCCGCAGGGCTCGCGCCCGCGGTCCTGCGGCTCATCATGCGTATGCGCTCGCCGTAGAGCCAGAACAGGATGAGTGCGGGGCAGCCGACGCCGAGGCAGAACGCGGCGAGGATGGTGTCGCCCTTGCCGTAGCCGAGCGCCTTGTACATGTACGGCGCGAAGAGCGGGAAGCCGAAGCCCGCGAGGCTGCGGAAGCACGAGACGGCCGCGAGCGCGCTCGCTGCGTAGCGCGGGAACGAGTCGATCACGTACGCCTGCAGCCCCTGGAACGACGACGCGGCGCCGAAGCCGATGAGCGCGAAGCCGACGTCCGTCGCGACCCACTGCACACGCTCCTGCGCGCACCAGCCCGTGATGAGCAGCCCGACGGGCAGCATGTATGTGCCCGGGATGACCGGGACTAGGTGCCAGTCAATTAGGTGCAGGAGATGAGAAGAAGGGATGGACTCACGAAGACGGTACTCGGGCTTGCCTACGCCGTTGTTCTTCTGCGTGTAGTACCTGTAGACGCTGTCGAGGACGCGCGAGTTGATCTGGGTCGCCAGACTCAGGCCAATACCCTGCGCGCTCGTCAGAACAAGAGAGAGTGAGTTAAGACATGCGAACTTACCAAGGATATATAGTGCAGGCCCACGATGCCGATCCTCTCGTGATACACGTCCGTGTAGATGGTTGGGATGGTCGTCAGCACCACTGGATGTCACTCATCAGCGGCACGTATGTCGCGACCACTGGCACCACTTACGGTACACCGTGCCATAGACGAAGGCCAGGTAGACACCAAACAGCTGGATGATAGGCTCTTGGGCGAACAGCACAAATGGCCGGCAGAGCGCGCGGAGGAGGAACTCCTTCCAGCTGACCTCGCCCTTCTGGACCTGGAAGACGGTCTTTACACGCTTCGCGCCACCCTTCTCGGGGTCTCCGGCGAGCTCCTTGCGGATCCGGTGCGCCTTCCACTTGAGGAGGACCGGCGCATACGCTATGCCCACATCAGCACGATCTCCACAAAAACAAAAATCACGGCACACGCACTCTCACGGAGGAAACGCAGCCCCGCGAGCTGCACGAGCGCGTCCGCAATCGTCACGCTCCAGAAGACCCAGCGCCAGGTCGACTTCTCCGCGATCCAGCCGCCCGCGATGGGGCCAACCGCGGGCCCGAGCAGCGGCGCGAGCGAGTAGATGCCGACGGCCTTGCCGCGCTTGTCCGCGTTCCACATGTCCGCGAGCACGCCGCCGCCGATCGACAGCGGCGCGCTGCCGCCGAGCCCCGAGAGGAAGCGGAACGCGATCAGCTCGCCCTTGTTCTGCGCGAAGCCGCACGCGAGGTTGAAGACTGGAACAGACTGCTGTTGGGTAAGGGACGGGAATGAGAGGAGCGCTGGACGTACTTAGGAATAAAAGGTTCGCGAGCTGCAAGACTCTAGAGCGACCATAGATCTCGCTCAGTGGGCCAAGAATTAAAGGGCCGATAGCTGAGAGTATCCATGCTTAGAGTGTCAGAGATCCGCTGGTCATTGATGCTCACCGTATGCTAATACATAGACTGATATTGTGAGAGCCACTTCTATTTCTGACGTGATGTTTAGATCTTGCGCGATCTGGAAGGATGCTGGCGCGACCATAGACGAGGCCACGGGTGACATGAACGTGAACGACGAGACTGCAAGAGCTGCTGCCCACTTCTTGCTTTCCGACCAGCTTTGGAGACGTCAGAAGATGAGTGAGAAGGTAAATTTTGCGACGCACTTTTTTGGATTCTCTGGATCATCAGGACCGTCCCAATCTACGACTACCAGGTCGTCGTCTACACTTGACTGTGGCTGCGGCTGGTCGTCTACCGATGCGGACTTGGTAGACTCCGCGCGGGCACTTGCCGTCCTCTCAGTCCGCGGCAGTTCGCTGTCTGGCTGTTCCGGGTCGGCTACCATACTCGACGCGAGGGTCGTATGAGACCTATGTGGTGTTTGCGCCTCGCCGAGGTTGAGGTGCGTGCGCGACTGGTTCTCGCGAAGGGTGCTGTCTAGCGATGGTTGGGGGGTGAGGCCGCGGTTCGCCATTTTTAGGGCTGAGGGAGAGATACGAAGAGCTGGGGTTCCCGCTCCAGATCGCTTTTATCCATAATTCTGAGGAGGAGCGAGATGCCTGTTCCACCGTGCTCGCTTCCCAAATATGTCAAGTGTCCCCTCATCGCGTCTCTCGCGCCTTTCGCGCCGCTCGCGTCAGCATGCTCCTGTCAGCGCCGTACGTCTACAGGCCCTAGTCCTGCCTATTCAGACGGCCTGGGGGATACCAGAAAGCTCTTTCGGGCTCCAGAGAAGGTGCCCTCGAATTTTACGCATTTTCTAGGAGGAAAATGGGCTCTCTCACGGAGGAGAAGGAAGTGTCAAGGCCTGAAACACTGACGAAGCAAAACTATCAATATATACAATACCGTAAGGTCCACAAAAGGCAACATTGCCTTATATGGTGAATTTCTGCTCTCTATAGGCTGAGGAAGCGTGCTCACTGTGGCTCGAGTATCGACTACTCGCAGTATTTCAACCACGGATATGGCGAGTCTCAAGCAGGCGAACTGCTGGGCACTCTCGCAGCGTCGCTGTAGCTAGAGGAAGCTGTGCCGTAGGCACGGGTATCCTGCTAGTACCTGCTAAATTGAGACGAACGGATACTTCCGAGCTCTTCGTGGCTGGGCGCTTCATACGTTCGCGGCGCGAAGTCCGGGGCAGCGCGCGAGAAACGAGAGCAGCGATGACTGACAGGCCCTGGCAAGTGCCGCGCATGCGCACCGAGTGTACAGCATTTCTGAGTGTACGGAGGAAATGGCAAGCCTGCGCGGACATGCCCCGACCAGAAGATGTCAGTCGACGTTGCGGCCTCGGCCCTTCGCTCAATGAGCTTCCGTGCGAAGGTCATCGGCGCGAACTCACTTTACTGCAGAGCTCGAGAATTTTCGTACACTCAGAGGCCAGGAAGCGAACAGAGAATGTTCTTGGTGATTGAGTGTGCAATCATGGAACCTCCTAGGTTCACCGCGCAGAAGCAGCTTGTCACTTCATATGGTAGCGTTTAATGTGCTTCGAGCTGACGTCAAGAGTAGGGCTGTAAGAACGTTGTATTCGAAGTAGTGATAGACAAACAGGTCGCGGTAGCTCACAGCCATCAAAGCGCTCTGCAATAGCCCCAAGGATGTCGTGGGGGGCATGACCTCCCTTGCTTGACTGTCTGGTTCAGGCTGATGACAAAACTCATCTGCGAAGATATCTTGACACGTATGGTCAACTCACGTTCAAAGGCAGCAGTTGACGTTGTTCATACATAGATAAAGATACATATTGCTTTCCTGCTTCTGGTTATTCAACTTTACGTAACAGAAAGGCAGTCTCACCTCCTGACGAGCACACATATCCAGAGACGTTCTCAATAGACCAGCCACTCCTCAGCTTGCTTTAAAGCCTGGTCCCAACCATCACCCTCCGTCCTCTGCCACGCCTGCATACTGTCGACCTCATCGCGCCCCAGCTTCTGGCCGTTGTACAGGTGCGGGAAGAGGCCCTCGCCGGGGCGCGGCCCGCACACCTTCGCGTCGGGGCTCTCCCAGCGCACGTCCTTCGCAATGGCGGCGTACGGCACGCGCAGTATGTACACGCTCGGGTGGTCCGTGAAGAAGTGCTTGAGCGTGCCCGGGATCTGCACCGCGGTCGAGAGGTGGATGAAGCCCGACTTCTCGTCGAGCTCACTCACGGGCAGCACGGGTGGGAGCGGCGTCGGCGGCGGCGCGGTGTACGGCACGAGCTTGTAGACGTATGTCGGGAGTGCGGGGTCGCTGCTCATGGTGTGCGGAGGCAAAGCGTTGGCGAGGTCGCGACTCGCGCGGACACGCGATGACGCAAATTAGGGGCGCTTGCACAGGTAAGAAACACTCTTGTAGTGGTGTAAGTAGCTGCTACTGATACGAGTAACAAATCGGGTTACACGCGGACTTACCTCGATTTCAGTTCTGCTACTTATCACCGAGTGCTGCCCTGCACTCCGCGGATTTTCTGGAGTTCCCACAAGCATGGCTCGAGGCACATTCGTCGATGGTCGTTACGATCCTACATCTGTTCAGCTGTCCGAAAGGCTCCAACGCGACTGATTAACGGGCAAGAACATCGAGTTCGCCCCGACGCGCGCTGTCCCACCAC